CGCGCTTGCCTTGTCATTAAAAAAAACTCAGAACAGATGGAGAACGCTTCTGTTCGTCCATCTGTTGCTAGTCGTAGTTTGTCATACATAACAGAGTTCATAAATCGGGCATTACCTAACAGAGCCTATTCTTTTTTATATAGATAACAAATACAACAAAATGCTTTGCTTACAGCAAGCACTAGGCGCTTACATTTAAAATAATTATTTATTACTAGCGACCCACCCCGGCTTCTCACGGATGCAATATGCATGTATTATACTTGTAAACCTTCCTTAAGAATCACTCTACCTTAAAATAACCGCATTAAAATCCGTTGCGTAGTAGTTTTAAAGATCTAAGCGTACATAGGGACAGACAGACCGTGGATAGCGACTTTGTTTTATACTATGTGGTGATTATTATTTATTTGCCCTGAAACATATACACATGGTATAAATAAGTGTTACAAAAATATGGTTAAAGTGCAGCATGTTTTAGCTAATATTTCTTTAACATGCATTTATACTTTATTTTATTCTATTTATTTATTACGTAAAATGTTTAAAGCTCGGGGTTAAATAACAGACACGTGTTCAGAACACGGTGTTCTTGATAAAACCCGTGGTGTGCCGCAGCGCAGATGTACGCGAGTCACAATGTATTTTCTGTTGCGTCTTATATGTATACCGGCGTTTAAGCAGTTAATAGAGCGTAATTATGACTATAAAATATATTAACACAGCCATTACAACGGTTTTCATTTCCTGAAGAGATTGTCAAATATAGGTACGATGCGGGTGGATGGATGCGGCTACAACGCGTGACGTAGCCATTACGAGCGCAGTTCTTAAAAATGAGTTGTGGTTGTGAACCTTTGTAGCACTGCGTTAGGATTGCCATTTATACGAACATCGTACTTGGTGCCCCAGTTACAGACATTTGTGTGGAAGCACTTGTTTTATCTTTTTCAAAAAAAGTCTTACTCATACAGGTAGGTACTAGGTACCGTGTGGCGCGGAACTCAACAAGCTCGCTAATTAAACGACTCGGAAGTTAAAAAAAGGTCGGTAGCACACTCAATATGCTGCGGTAGGCGTTTTTCTTTTTGAGTGGGAAAAATCATCCAATGAATCGCCCGGGTGAGCCGAGAGGGAGTGTCAGACTCTTACTGACTAAAAAACCACCCCGTTCCTACTTCTGCACTTCGAGCCGGAGTCCCGGCCACCCATTAAGTCCTCAGCGGGGTCTGGTTCAAGTCGGGCGGCGAGTCACCCATGCTCGCCGTCCGCAGGCCCGTGCGGTGACCGGAGATCTTCTCGCGATCCCCGATGAAGCTTAGCTCGCGAATGCTGTGGTAGGCTGCAGTAGCTGCTTAATGTCAGATTACCATCTGGCCGCCATAAGCGTGTTTGCTACTGATAGTATATTAGATTAAAATAAATATAGAAAGAAAATATTAGACTCATCAATGAACTGGTAAAGAATTTCTATATTTAGTAACATGTGATCTAATGATGATGATTTCTTTCATTGATCACAATCAAATTTACTACGTAGATATGTACAAACGTGTGTAAGTAGCTACTGTTAGTACAATCAAGGTGTTTCATATATCTGTTACTGTAAAAGCTCGAACTACGGTCAATCTTAAGATTTAAGTGTAAGTCTTAGGATTTACCGACATGAGTTGGTAAATGTAAGTATTTCTGAAGATACGACGATTTTTTCGAGCTTTTACCATTCGAACTCAGTATATGCTAGGTTTTACCACTGTCAGCTGGTAGATGTTGGTTTTAGGAATAAAACAATGAGTAATTCTTAATTAGGTAATTACTTTGAACTATTAGACAAAATAGGTACATAGTATTATAAAGACATCATAATGATATATCATAATGATCTATCTCTATCTTTAAGAGACAAGTGAGAGAACATTATCTTTCCTCCTGAAATACAGATTTGTTTTTCTATATTTATTTATATATGTATTATAATTGTATTATATTAATTTGTTTTATTGTTAATTATTGTTAATTCTATTGGTTTCTTCGGTCTTATTACTTTTTTTTTATTAATTGATTTTTATCGTGTTTGTGTAACACACTATGTGTCTCTGTATTATTATTTCTTTTCCTGCCACAGGCCCACAGGAAGAAATTCCAGTTGGAATATGTGGGGCCTATGTACTCTGTTTTTTATTATGTATTGTCCTCTGTGTTGAATGTGTGTACATAAATTAATAAATAAATAAAATAAATAAATGATAGTAACAAGTACAAACTAATATAAACTTATTTTGAACATACATAACATCACGCCTTTTATCCCCGATGGGGTAGGCAGAGGTGTACATTATGCCACTGTACAATGTAACACCCACTTTTCACTATTTATGTTATGAGTCCCATGTAATAGGGGGTGAGCCTATTGCCATATACCGGGCACAATTTTAGACTACGTGCTATTACTGAAATTAAAAAAACAGTATTACTTTGCCCAACCCGGGAGTCGATCCCGAGACCCCTTGCCCGGCAGTCGCACTTGCGACTACTACTACGGCAAGCTACAAGTCGATGCGCTGAGCACGTTATAACATGTTTTGTTTTTCAACATTTACCATGCTATTGATGTAAATCCTAAGATTTACCAACAGAATGGTGGTAAAAGTTCGAATCGCAAATCTTTTTGGACATTTACCATTAGGAATTGGTAGATCTTAGGTTTTACTGGAATATCTTAGGATTTACTGCAGTTCGAGCTTTTACAGTAACATATCAATTTCATAGAAAAACTATAAAGACAATGGAATATATCCGGAATGACGCACATATTATTTCCGTTAAGGAAGTTGTTCTGAAAATTACTGAAAATGAATCATCACGTCATAAGCCAGTAGGCGAACGGTGAATAAGTTCGTTAAATATCTGGAAAACAAACGTTATCTATTGATAAAACTTAGGTAGGTACGATTACTTGGTACTTGTGGCGATTACAGCACTCTTTGATATAATATAGAAATACAAATAACTGGTTTTATTGAGAAAATTGTAAATGATAGAAATACTTGCGTTAAAAAAAGGTATAATATGTTTATTGAGTTGCAGCTATTACGGCTCATGTCTTCGGCATCTTGAAGTACCTATTAATAAATGAAATCATTTGAGAGTGTTGCTTAATAATTAGTTATCTAAATAACCTTTAAAAAGTAGACAATGTTGTTATAATAACTATCGTGAGACATACTAAAATAACTGAAAATCGCGGGTTACTCACGTGAAATATGTCGCGGAGAACCTAACGGGTTACCGGGGTTCCAGCTCGACGTGCAGGAGTAAGAACGGGATGGTTTTTAGTCAGTAAGAGTCTGCACTCCCTCCCTCCTCACCCAGGCGGGAGTAGTCATTCGATGATTTTCCCCCCTTAAAAAAAAACTCACGTGAAATATAAACTAATAGAACTTTTATCAGTATATTCACGTGAGTAAACCGCGATTTTTAGTTAATTTAAAAAGAGTAGAGAGAGAGATCTATAAGAGTTGAATGTCAGACTTGAATTCCAAAGGAAGTCCTACTATCACTCCACTTATGACAGACGATTTCTTGATCTGTATGTGAAGAAATGAACAGTTTTAGAATCTTAGGATTTGGAAACGTGATAAAGTTTCTACAAAACCTTTATCTTACTAATCAGCTTTCTTTATGTTTTTCAAAAGGTTTCATCAGTCTTTTTTCATTTTCTTTAGTTAATATTAATGAATAGACGACAATTGGTGCAAAATACTGGCCATCAGACACTCATCTTTACTATTCCACTAGACGATGGTAGATTGAAGAGCCCATTACAGAAATGAGAATTAAGTTAAAATAATTTTGTGAAAATGTAACGTACATTTAAATACTACATGCTATGAATCCCATGTAACAGGGGGTGAGCCGATCGCCCGATACGGAAATGGAACCCGAGACGTCTTGCCCGGCAGTCGCACTTGCGACCACTCGGCCAACGAGGCAGTCAGAATATAAGAACAAATGTCTTCAGTCACCTCTTTAGCAACTGGAGCCATGATTAAAAAAGCGAGGATATAATATAATCTCAAATGAAGTTGTAATAGTACAGTGTAGGTAGGATAATGTTAATGATATATCAAGCAAACAATCACAGGCCAAAAGACATTAAAATAAGGTCATTGATAAGGCTTAAAATAAAATGAAATCAATGTTAAGTTAGGTACTGTTAGGTAAAATTATATAAACAACAAGTTAGTAATTAGTAATCAGTCGTAAGTAAAACGGTCGTTTGCAAGAATAAGTCCATATTATTATTACTGAAAAAACTTATTGCATTCGGGTTAGCAATTGGCAATTTACGTCATTCTCATCATGGTTAATACAATCCTATAATAGTGTGAACGGGCCTGCGGACGGCGAGCATAGGTGGCTCCCCGTCCGACCAGAAACAGACTCGAGCGTACGGCGCGTCGCGTTCCGCGCGCGCCTCAAAGAGCCATCAGACCACCACAGATGGGGCCCAACAGGGCCGATGCCGATTCGGAGTCGCGGAGAACCTAACGGGTTACCGGGGCTCCGGCTCGACGTGCAGGAGAAGGAACGGGTTGGTTTTTAATCAGTAAGAGTTTTGACATTTCCTCCGCCTCGCCCAGGCGGGAGCAGCCATACGATGATTTTCCCCCCTTAAAAATGGATTTTTAATCAATGAAATTAAATAACACATTGAATCATTAGATAAAACCGCATCCAAGTGATCAAAACACCTTTAATTCGCCTCAAATTATCACCATCATAAAATACCAAAACCCTACATGCAGGGCTATGATTAGGACAAAGAATTTGGCACACCTAACGTTCCTATTTGCTATCTTATCATATCTCTTAAAGATAATACCATATCAACGGGCACACAATGTTCCAACACTTTAGTCGACCAGTACAATAGCGAGCCACCTGTTGTCGTTAAAATTGATAAAAAATAATGTGATGAACATTTTGTAAGTGTGAAAATGGGTGTTAAAGTTTTAGCTTTAATAGTACTCTTAGTTGTTAGTGTACTTGGACAAGACGTTACAGTTAGTGACAACGATGTTACAAAGGAAGTTGTGGTGGACAATTTAGTTAGTGAAGACACAATAGTATTAGACACAGTTACAGAGGCCACAAAAAATGAAGTTGTTGAAGAAGAGAACCCAGTGGAAATACTAAGTGCTACGGATGATCTGCAAGTAAGGAGCGGGAAATATCAGCTCAATGATGGGCTCGTCGGTGAAGAACCGATGCCACTAGATGCTGTTAATTTCGACTCGAATAATAATGCAGGAGAGAGTGAAAAGCAGTTACTCTCTCCAGGCACAACTCAAGTCACGAACAATGAGTATGGTAAGTTATTTGATAATAATGCATTATTAACTAAAGAATTGAAAGAATTGTAGAATGCTACACATTCCGGTGTTAAAAACATAATCCTTACAATTTATAACAAGGTATCAAAGGTTGTAGAGTAACAAAAGTCTTAGATAATCATGACCTCGTCGCGTCTACTGATACTAAATCAATGGTACCTACATACGTTGGCGTGTTTGTTCAAACATTGACCCACATAGTTTTCGTAGATGACACAGAAGGGACGAATGACAAACATTTGGCAATGTTTGACAATGTTCAAGAGTTGAGATAAGAGATTTTGAATTATTTAGCGCGTAAATAGAACCTCGTTTTTTACTTGAGTAGAGTATAATAAGGACGATTATGGTTTCATTAAATGTGTAATGAACCTAAAATGTTTATGACTTGTAATCTCTTAGTATCTAATATATAGTTTTAAGTATGATTCATGTCGCAAGATGAGTAACCATTAATCATAATGTACATAAATGTTGGGTGACGTCATTTCATTCAACATAATTATTCTATGAACAAGACGATGCACATTTCTAATCAGGATCCATTGACATCAAAAAGTCATAGTTGCTCTAATCCTATATGTCCTTTGTTTTTGATGTAAATAAAAAAACTGCACCAAGTTGAGTTTAAAAAGAAAACCAATTCAGTTTTTATAGCAGAGGATTAACCTCTGCTATAAAAACTGAATTGGTTTTCTTTTGAAACTTAACAAAAATGGTACATTACTCATTTAATTTAATCAAATAAAATGATGTAGTAATCTACGATAAGGGCCGCACCTTACATAGTATAACCCTACCAATTACGGGATGTCAATTCTTTAAAGAAAGCACTAAATGGAGACAACTTTTGAAATGCGTCGAGTTATACCAATTAAGTACGAGCTGCAGATAAGGGCTACGTATTTTATCAAGCGATAATAAACGTGGTCAAGTGCGGTTTCTGTTTGCATTTGAGTCCCGTATGAATATTCTTTAAAGAGGTATAGTTGGAGCTCGTGAGTGCTAGGTTATTCTGCAGAATTTCATGACGTGAAAGTAATATTATGTTCAAGACTTCTTTTTCTTTATAGAGTTTCTATTTAGAACTTGCAACGTGTGCTTCTACTTTGCCTAATAATTATGCTGTTTTAAGTTCTGGAGACTAAACTTTCTTACCAGCTTCAGAGTTTAGTCTAGAAGGGTATAACCTGGGTGTCTTCAAGGCCCGAGTTAATAAGTTGCTTATGGGATGTCGTGCTCCATCGTAGACCGTATCATCGCTTACCACCACGCAAGACGGTGGCCAAACGTCGGCAAATAAAATCAAAAAAGTATTGATAAATTTAATACAAAACTTGTAAAGATCTGATTGTTAAGTCATAACTACAATACTTAATACAAAAAGGAATATAAATATTCTTAAGTCGTGACATCCTGAGACCATTTCGCAATACTGCGATGCGAGATACAAATGATTTCATCGTTGTGTTGTATGAGGATTATGTTTTTGGGTCAAACGATGCTAGCAATGTAACTAATGTACTTACCACAGAATATTTTTGATTACTTTAAAAACGTTCGTGGTCTAAAACTATGAGATAAAGCCTGTGTTGAACTTATAATGTGCATGGATGGAAAAGAAGATGACGACACACGAAAAGATGAAGGTGAACTGATGAGTGATATGAAAGAGAACTAGTTTTTGGTATTCCATGAAGGAAAGGGTAGTTAATGATGGGATGACGTTTGATAGGGAGAAGTTGTGTAAAGAAATATTGCGCTGATCCGGTATATGAGGCACAATAAAAATACATGGTGCGTCGTGAATGAATCTTCATATGTCTAAACGTGGATCCACGCGAGACACAATTTATTTTCTATTGTGTCTGATATCGGAGCATTCGTTTTAAAACTGCTTGCAGTTCTCATGATAATATTTATTCTTCATACCCTCTCCATTAACATCGTATTTTACAAAAACATATCAGCGTACCTTTTTCACATTCTCCAGAAATGGACTCACCATTACACTCTTAGGTATTACCTAAGATCCTTGTTGTAATTTCGATCTCAATAATTACGAATAATCTGGTTTTGTTAGTTTTAATTTTCCTAAGAAAAACAATTAGCTAAGAATCTAGATTTATTTATCTACCTACTTAGACAATTATTTTTATCAGTTAAACGAACATTATTTGGCGCACTCGTTGCCACACCCAGACTTAATACAGGTACTTGTTTAGCTGTGATAAATGAACTGAACATAGCGAGCAATGTTCCAATCCAACCTCAAACCAACTTATTATGGAAAGTCAATTTTAGCTTTACAATTAGCTCTCAAGCACATTTTAGCGCTGTTGTTGCTGACAACCTTGCAGGTTAAAAGGGCTCTGGGTCGAGTAGGAACGGGGTGGTTTTGTCAGTATGAGTCTGACACTCCTTTCCTAGGGGTGGGAGAAGTCATTCGATGATTTCCCTCCCCTCCCAAAAGGGAATAAAACATTTAAGGCTTTTACTGTCAATAAAAACTGTTGAAGCCAAATCCTCAGCTAATGTCGGTCACCGATGACCCTCATGGCGTTGAATGTGTCAATATATACCTCTGTGTTTACTATGTAAATATTTTGGTTAAATTCTTTAATGCTAGTGATCTATGACAAGTAATTGCAAAGCAACTTCTCCTCTGCTCTAATCTAACGATTTATCTAAGTACTATAATTAGCATGATAGTATTTCTTGTTAATAATAATGATTCAGAGACTGACTAGCTTGTACACGTACAGTCATTTCTTCACAAACAATTCTTTTGAAATCAACTAGGATTTCAGATTGGACGTCATTGTTTTGATTTTTATTAGCAAGTTATAATAGTAGATTGTAATTTACAATTTAGTTATTTATAGAAAGGAATAGGACTCCTTTCTCTATAATGTATTTTTATATCCTGGCTCCATCTTTGTCTTCCAAAACCTTCTCATCATTGTTGGCTCGTGCGTCTATTTCCGACAATTGGTAAAATATAATGTTCATGGCGTAATCTCCTACATACTAAAACATTGAAACATTGATTTAATTTCTATGAAAGACCTACCCAGTCAATGTTTACCACAATAAAAGAGAAAATATATAGGTAAGGTACAAAATCAGCGAAAAAACGCAAGCCTTGATATAAGAGACGGAAATGACAACAGAAAAGAACATCAGAAGATTATGTTAATGTTAAGGGACAACAATTACAATAGTAATAAATTAAATTTCAGCATCCGGGTAAGAAGAAATTAGATAACAATGCATACCCAAAACAGTTACAGTAAATGGTGAAACAAAGAGGCTTTGGTAGGTGTTAAAATGACATCAACTCGTTTACTAGGAATCGCTTGCCCGATATAAACTGATAGCTTATCACTGCTATCAGGGCCTAGTGTCGATACCGATCCACAAACGCCTGCTTAAATAATTCACAAATTATGTGAAAATAAATCTGTTATTGTTTCCAATACTTTCAAAGTAAATCAATAGAAGAAATGACTGCGTTAATATATTTTAGAGTATCTAGACCCGTATTGCAAGTCAAAGAAGATTCTGTAGAGTCCCTAGTAACTTCTGTTTGTGATATAACTTACCTTTTTAATAGGGAAAATTCATCCAATGACTTCTCCTGCCTGTTGAGGCGAGAGAAAGTATCATACTCTTATTGACTAAAGACCACCCTGTTCCTACTCCTCCTTTGAACCGGAGCCCCGGCAACCCGTTAAGTTGTCTGTAGCTCTGGATATAACTTGCCTACCTTTTTAAAATCAATCACATATCAAATCTGATTATACATTATTTGAGGTCAAGTAAAAACAAAGGTTCAGAAATTGTGTAGTCATTGAGGTTGATCATAACAACTGATTTCAAATTACAATAGAAGATAATACATATTAAATTGCAAATACATAACTTACAACAACAGCATTAATCTATATCAATGCTCTTTACTATTAAAGGATGCATGAAAAGACTGAGCATCGACAAACTCAATGAGCATCAACATTATCCACGAATCAAACCAAACTTTCATCTAATAGTCTTATTTCATCAATTAATATTAAAATGTTCACCCTTCCAGCTCATATCGATGGCAGAGTTTTACCCGACACCAGCTACCAGAACAATGGCCAGCCCTACGTCATCACGGCTGCTCGATTGGCTCAGATCAGAGGAAACTTCATGTACTGGTTCTACGATTTGGGAGGTAACGAGAACCATGGAGACTACCAAAGGGACATCCACGGCTCCACTCCACAGATCCATAAGAACTTCAACTTCCAGTTGCCGTTCTTCGGATTTAGATTCAATTACACTAGGGTGAGTAAAGATTTCGGTTTTTAAGGGTTCTCTAAGAAGAAGAATTTCTTTTGATGATTTCACTGACTCATGTCTAAATACTATAACGCCAATTAATTTTAAGTCGCGCCTTATGTATAGTTCTATCACTACAAATTCTTCGTAAAATGACAGAGATGGCACGATATTTACCTACGACTTAAAATTGTTTAGCCTTTCATTATTGGGGCGTCAACTTCATCATCATTTTGGCATTGAAAATAAGTTCTAAAGGAACCAATATTCCTAAAGTTTTCTAATAATATCGGAATTCAGGCCTCTATTTTAAACCAACTTTTCCATTTTGCAGTTATCCATGAACGGCTACATCTACTTCAGTGACCCTCCAGACCACTACACATATCCTCTCTCCTTCCCCATGAGAGACTGGCCCAACGTGAACGACCCTTCGTTTATCGGTATCTTCTTCAGCAAGTGTCGTATCGGTAGTCTGAATCAGGACGACCCTGATCAAAGAAGACCTGGAGTCTACTTCAGAATGGACAGAGATTTGCAGGTAAGGAAAGAGATTTCTACTGACCTTTTTTTGTAACCTTTCTTTTTATAGACAGCACATTAAACTAACAAAACTATACTGCGACATGGTAAGATTGAATTTCAGTGGACAGTTCTGGTCGCTGTAAATGTGTGAATGTGAAACAAATTGATTATTGTTGTCCGAATAATCGCAAATACATGGACGTTCATAATTTTAGGAAGTAAATACCTACTTACGCGACCTTTATATTATTTTTTGTACATGTTTTTGTTTTCTATAGACTCGTACAGATCAGCTGGGTGTGGAGATGAGAGAGCGTCTGACGTGGGACATCCGTGAGGGTGTGATCGGTTCTGAGACCTTCTTCCCCAAACACGCCATCACCATCACCTGGAAGAATATGTCCTTCTCTGGAGGAATTGACAACTCTCTGTTCAGGGTTAGTTAAAAATCTTGATTTATTTTCTGTTGAATGTCATTTAACTACTAGTTTTTACAATGTTTGAAACGACTTTGACTTTCCATGTGATTAAAAAAAAAATTCTTTGATGATTCTATCCATATCTAATGATGATTTTGTGTTTCAGACAAACACATTCCAAATGGTGCTCGCGACTGATGAAGTGTTCACGTATGCAATTTTCAACTATTTGGAGATCAACTGGAGTTCTCACACGGAGGCTGGAGGTGATACCACCACAGGAGAAGGTGGAACACCTGCTTATGTAAGTTGTTGTATACTGATACTATTATTATAATCTTTCAACAACTAATGGTAACAGTGCTACGGATTCCACTTTAAGAAAAATTTAAAACAATTTGTAGTTTTTGGTAACGTGTTTTTAGAATCTTGATTTATTCATTTTATCTCTGACAGATCGGATTTAACGCTGGTAACGGAACTCAAAGCTATGAATACAAACCATACTCACAAGCGTCTGTGCTTCGAGATCTGACGGGCAGAGGATGGGCCAACGGTTTCCCTGGACGACACATATTCAGGATAGACGAAAAGATACTTATGGGAACTTGCAATAAGGATATTGGTGAGTCTTTTGATAATATTGTCTTGAAGGAATCGAATTACAAATTGAATTATGTTTGACATAATGGAATGTTTCTCTGGTTTCTAGATGGAGCAAATCTTCCTTTGATGTTCGCTCCTGAGAGCGGTAACATGTTGGGAGGTACTATCGTCAACATCACAGGTCCTTGCTTTAACCCTACCGACAGAATCACTTGCCGTTTCGATACGGAATCCGTCATAGGCGCCGTAGTAGACTCCAACAGAGCTATCTGCGTTCAGCCTAGATTCTGGCACAATGGATACGCGAGATTTGAGATCGCCATCAACAACGAACCTTATAAATGGAAAGGAAAATACTTCGTCGGTAAGTTCGTACGATATTTTGAGAACTTTTTGAATTATCTTTTGTTACACCCTTCATTTAACACCCTCTTTTTTTGCAGAAACCCCAGCAACGGCTGCAGAAAAGATATTCTTTACTGACAACTCAGTCCACGAGAGGTATCCACCAGAGATAAGAATAACTTGGGACCGTTTCAATTTGACCTCGAACCTCAATGTTCAACTTCAGATCAGCTTATGGGGCTACAAAGAAATTACAATTAGACCTCAACTGGAATACATAGATATTATCGAATTGGGCGTGGCTAATACTGGAGAATATGTCATCAATCCTCAAAACTTTAGGAACAGGGACAACTTCATGCACAATGACATGCAGTTTGGTTTCCTTCAGATTAATCTTACAACGCCTGAAGTCTTCAAAGGAGTCTCAATCTCACCGTGAGTTATATACACCTATTAAAAAATTAAATGGATTCCAATTGTTAATTGTACTTAATACTAACTAATATTTTGTATCCGCAGTGTACTTTGGAGTCGTCCCATACCATTGGGTTGGTATTTCGCTCCACAATGGGAAAGACTGCACGGTTCACGTTGGCCCAATGCTCTTTGCAACAACTGGTTACGAACGGATCGTTTCTTGAAGAACTTTGCTTCTCAAGTGTGGGTCTGTCCTTGCACATTGGAACACGCCTTACTGGACAAGGGAAGGTTTATGCCTGACTTGGATTGTGACAAAGATACGAACCCTACCTGTAGGTACCATTGGGGAGGTATACACTGCGTCAGGAGTGGAGCACCCAGGTAAATATACAAACACTACCAAATACCATATCAAACTTTTTAAAGGATATTAATCTGTCAAACACCAAGCGGTCACCGGTGACCGCGACCTATTGTTCTTTAATTGTGTCTATAAAACCGGTACTCGACGAGTTAAGTGATTGCTTATTTTCTTCAGTGCGGAAGGTTCTGGCCAGCAGTGCTGCTACGACAAGAACGGTTTCCTCATGTTGTCCTACGATCAGATGTGGGGATCTCGACCTTCAAGGGCACACGACTTCGGATTCACTCCTTACAACGAGGCCAACAAGGTAAGACATAATACCTTTAAAAACATTATTGAAATCAAGCATACAATTCTTTTGGAAGCCTAAATCTGTTCCCATGCTAATCTTTGATATATTTTTAGGTTCCATCTTTATCCCATTGGTTCCACGATATGATTCCATTCTACCAATGTTGCTTGTGGCAAGAGGAACAGGCTGTTGGCTGTGAAACATTCAGGTAAGTTTTTTACAAGTTACTCTTCTTTGAAGTCAACAGAAGACCCATTACTATGAAAAGTTAAAAAGAACTGTTTTTTTTTACTATAGTTTCATAGCTGTGATTGATACTAAAATAAGATTCTAATGCCTCCAATAGATTTGAACGTCGACCCTCGCAAGACTGTGTGGCGTACCAATCTCCAGGAGTCGCAGGAATATTCGGAGACCCACACATCGTCACTTTCGATGATTTGCAATACACTTTCAACGGAAAAGGTAAAACTTTTAGTTTCAATTTAAAAAAATAGTTAAATTCTTTTGTAGTACAACCTTCGTAAGGCACACTAAATAAATTACGTTTTAAAAATTTATAACGCATATCTTTGAAGAGGGAACTCGACTAATTACAAGCTCATCTGAGGGCTTATATTAAGAAGTACCATGAAACTAATCGGGTTTTCTCATCAAACAGTTGCGTGAGTAAGTCGGTAAAGATAATGAATTAACTAGTATTTTTTTAAACCAGCTCTTCGATCTTTTTGGAAATGAAACAAACATAACATTTGTTCCTTTTCCAGGTGAATACGTACTGGTAAGAGTGGATCATCCACAATTGAAGTTGGACGTCCAGGGTAGGTTCGAGCAAGTATCTCGCAACATCCACGGTCAGGTCAACGCTACACATCTGACATCCGTTGTCGCTGCTTCTAACAACTCAGTACCTATTGAGGTAAGATTTTTAACTTTTCTTCTAACACTATCCTTGTCTCAAGTAACTGTATTCTTCGTGTGTGTTCTTCTATCGTCTTTAGTATTATGCTTCTCATAGGTTTTAGCCGTTTTTATTTGATCATGTTCTCCTCTTCTATCTTTTTTTATTTGGGCCGGAAAACAAGCAGGTGGATCACATGATGGTAAGCAATCGGAGCCGCCCATGGACACCTGAATCTTCAGAGACAAGTGTGTTACGGACTTTTTGGGAATTTGGAATTTGAGGATTGTGGGGGATTCGGGGATTGGAGAGACTGGGGAGGAGGGGATCTATATTGATTTCACCAAAACTCTTCTATTATTCGGTGACTAACTGACAACGCCGAGCCTATCCTAAAAACTACTGGCCAATAAATCCGATTATTGTCGCATAGCTTCCATGAGTAGCTTCCTTGTACGAGGTCTGCAATTATTACAACATTTTCGTTTTTTATTTTAGGTACGTCTACGTCCCCAACACGCACAATGGAGGTACCGACTGGATGTGTTCGCTGACAACAAGAGGGTTTACTTCGATAGGCCTGCTCTCCGAGTTCAATACTTCCCAGGTAAGATAATACAGACTTTAAACTAAAAACAGTAAGGTCCTTATTTGTCTTTTATCTCATCCAGATGTGTTTGTCAACGGTTAACGGTACTACAGTCTGCCTGCTTCCATGAATGAAAAGCTAACCTAGAGATGTTTTTTCATTATCTGGGTTTTCAGATATTTATATTTTTTTTAATTAATCCATTGAAATTGGCTACCACCAGATTACAAATCCGTGAATCGAAGGCAGTTCCCCGTAGCTTATTTCCAACGCGATACCAATAGTCTTTGCTCGTGCGTCTACTAACCTTGAAAAAACACAAATCTTTTCTAAGAAGTAAGAATTTTTTTATTAATTTAAATGCATATCAATATCTTTAATATTTTGCTCCAGGTGTAACAGTCTACCAGCCGATGTACTTGCTGAACCAGTCAGAGATTGTGATCATGTTCTCGTCGGGCGCTGGTATCGAAGTGGTGGAGAACAAAGGGTTCATGTCTGCTAGAGTCTACCTACCATGGACGTATATGGTGAGTAGGTCCTAAAATACTTTTTAAGAATAAAATATTTTGTAAATGTTTAGAGTTATGGCTCATTCCCGATTGCATAAGAATTAGGTGAAAAACTGCCTCAAAAAATCAATGAACGACTCTTTTTATTGTCCTCATTTACATTATGTCTTTGAAATTCTTAGCAAATAGCATTTAATTCAGGCTTTTGGTGGTGAATGTATCTAAGTGAAAAGATAGAATTTTATGAAAATATAGACATAATATCTGTGGCTCGAAACTAGTAGAGCTTTTCTCAGTATATTCACGTGAGTAACCCGCGATTTTTAGTTAATGAAAAACATAATTACTTGCCTAAATAAAATGATATTTTAACACTTGTACGTTTGCAGTTAAAGATTACATTGCGGCTATTATTAACACTATCTCTATACCGTCATCGTTCGATAAGAATTGATCAAGAAGGAAAAAATATACTTTCCATGGAGCTGATAAACAATATTATTTTCTTTAATGTTTTATCACATGTCATATATATCCTTTAGGGGACGAATTATTAGAATTATTAGATAGGCATCTTTAAAAAGACCTTGTGTGACCTTGGAATAAGGCGGCTCATTCTGGTAAATAGAGATTTTGGGGGTCTAAAAATATAGTATTGAAGTTACGAACTGTTTTGCCCTCTATTACAATATACATTAATTATTATAAGTTTAAAAATGCAATGAAAACAACATAATAGAGTGGCCAGTGGTAGTGAGCAGTTGATCTTCTTCGAGCCTGATTATAACTTGTTTGACCTTGAAATAAGGTAAAGTTAAGTTAAGATATAATATTAGTGAAAACAATTTGAGGGTCTAAAACAACATATTGTTGAAGTTAGGAACTGATCTAAAGTGAATATCTATATCTTCTTCCTAGTCGTCTTCTTCATTACTGAAGGTCGTGTCTAGTCTGGTGCACGCGTCACTTGATGCACAACCCTCCTCCAAACGCCCCTGTCCTCTGCGGTCTTTATGGCTTGTGGAACTGTCAGGCCGGTTAGGTTTTTTACAGCATCCAACCACCGGGTAGGTGAACGACCGCGAGGTCTTTTCCCGTTAACCCGACCAACAACCACAAGCTTCTCCAGATTGTTGGGGTCTCTACGCGCAATGTGGCCAAAATAAGTTAATATTCGCTGCAGGCATACAGTGGACAGCCTCGTAGTAATTCCGATCTCCTTGAGAATGGAGACGTTGGTGCGACGAGCGGTCCAGGGAATACGGAGCATACGTCTCCAGCACCACATTTCGAAGGCGTCAATTTTTGCTCTCTCAGTTTTCCTTAGGGTCCAGGATTCGGCGCCATACAAGAAAATGGAGAAAACCAACGCACGCATCAGCCTCACTTTGGTCTTGCGACATATATTTCGGTCCTTCCATATCTTGGTGAGTTTCGTCATTGCTGATTTGGACATCTGGATTCTCCTTCTGATCTCTCCGTCGCTGCCACCCCCACCATCGATAAGAGAGCCCAGATAAATAAACCGATCCACAAACTCCAAGTCTCTGAGTTCATGTGAGCGAGTGCATGTCCCCATTCTGTCCACAACGAGCACCTTGGTCTTGTTTTTATTTATGGTGAGACCAACCAGTTCGCTCTCCTTCTCTACTCTTGCAATCAACTCAGCCATCTCGCTCTCGGACGATGCAAACAAGGTAGTATCGTCCGCATACCTTAGATTGCTGATTCTCCTGCCACCAACAGACAGCCCACGCTCCCACCCCTCCAGAGCTCGTCTCATTATGTATTCCCCATATATATTAAAGAGAATGGGAGACAGGATACAGCCCTGCCGGACTCCCCTCCGAGGCTTAAATGGATGCGACAGGACGCTGTTTACTTTCACCACGGTGCTTCCATCCCTGTAAAGATTAGCAATGAGAGCCACAAGGTGTTTCGGTACTCCCATTTCCCCCAGGATTTTCCACAGGCATTCCCATCTTACACAGTCAAAGGCTTTTGAGTAATCGACGAAGCACATGAACATTGGGATGTTGAATTCGCGACATTTTTCTATAATTTGCCTGATGTTTGCGATCTGTTCTCTAGTGCCTCGTCCCTTTACGAATCCTGCCTGCTCCACTGGAATCTGCCACTGCAGAAATGCCTTAAGACGCTCATTAACTACGTACAGAAGAACCTTACTAACATGAGAAATGAGCGCCACGGTTCTGTAGTTTCCGCAGGACTTCGTAGATCCCTTCTTATGTAGTGGAATCAGTACGGATTCCCTCCACTCCTTAGGCCAGCAACCAGTCCTCCATATCTGATTGCATAGATTTTGCAGAAAATTGACTCCAGAATCACCTATTTGCTTCAGGTCTTCAGCAAATATGGCATCAATGCCGGGTGATTTGTTTGCTTTCAATTTCTTTATAGCAAATTCGATTTCAGACTTCAGAATCTCTGGTTCCAGAGGTATGCTGTTGAAGTTGTCCTGGGGGTCCTCCGACGCCGAATATCTATATATACATATATAAAAGAAAGTCGTGTTAGTTACACTATTTATAACTCAAGAATGGCTAAATCGATTTGGATGAAAATTGGTGGGGAGGTTAGAACCAGGAGACGGACATAGGATACTTTTTACCTAATTCTTTTTTTTTACTTTTTACCGAAAATCAAGAACGGGAACGGGAAATATCGGGATTGTGCGTACGAAGTCGCGGGCAGAAGCTAGTTAGTAATAAACTAAAGAAAGCAAATACACTTCTTAACATTCTTAACATAATTATTGCAGGGGTCTTTTACTAGTCATCTCATAATTTTAAATTAATTTTTATCATAGAATCAAACGCGTGGTCTATTTGGCAATTGGTCGCTGGACATAAACGATGACTTCACGCGACCTGACGGCACAAGAGTCAACGTGGACCTCAACAACTTCCAGACTGCACACAGGGACTTCGCTCAACACTGTAAGTCATATAAAATTTTGTTTTTAACGGACTTCCCAAAAAAGGAGGAGGTTATCAATTCGGCTGTATGTTTTTTTTTCGATCCAAAGTTCAAAATCATCATTTAAGTTCAGCCTTCCACAGGAATTAAATTAAACTCATCTTTTGGTGGAAACTGTATGACAATTTGTTTGGTAGTTTAAGAGTTTATTGTGCCTTCACAGACAAATACGAAAGTGGACCTCTTTCTATAGGGCTTTGAACGCCTACAGAACCACATTGTATTTCAAGCTGATGAATCTAGTTTCCCCGACAATTCTTAAAGATATTTTCTATTCAACTTTCTAGGTTTTTTGAAGGCCCTACCTTTAAACACACAATATCTCTTTTCCAGGGCAACTAACCGACAGAGAGCAACGAGACATAGGAGTGGCGATGTTCTACCGAGAATATGGTAGAACTGCAGCTTACTATAACGATAACCAATTCGTTCCGAACTTTATAAGGGAGCCGGCAGACTTCCTCCCTGCTAATAGATCGCAGGACGTGGCCAGGGCGATAGAAATCTGCCAGGACTCCTACCAATGTCGATACGATTACGGTATGACGCTCAACAGAGATATGGCTGAGTTCACCAAGAATTATTTGTCTTCCATTGTAAGTACTTTTTGCTATTATGCTGTTATCATGTTCAAAACCTTAGCTAAGTACGAAGCGATTTTCTTTCTTTAACTGTTATTAAGGAAAGGACTCATTTACTCTTCATTCGGTTTTCCCAACGACACAATTTTCTAGCTTTGTATTATATGACTAAGACTTTTTAAATGATATTAACAAAATTGGCCAACATCCCTCCATTCAGTAACTGCTTACACGGATTGGATTATGCACTTTTGTTAGCACTTAAGTCTACTTGGTACATAATTAAAACACATCGATAACCGTTATGCTATCCTATTTATGATGTCACTTTGTGAGTAAGAAAATGCGAAACACCATGATTCATCCCAGCTATTAAGTAAATAATTACCTTGATTGTTAACCTGTCATAGCACATACAAATTATGGTTTCCCACACTTGATACATACATCGGTACGTTGTATATGTATGAGTGTGTATGTGTTTGTTTAGTCGAAAAAGAGGTTATAATCTGGAAGATGTATTTAAAAAAATCGTTAATTTCGTCAATTGACGATTCACTTCACCTTATACTCCTTTCTCTCTCTAATTATCATCTCTTCTTCTTTTAAAAATCGACTTCGCCATCAACATTATTGACTTTTTTTTATTGGATTTCTTTTTCTCCACGGACTCTTATCCGTGCCATTGTCATTCAATTACATTTTCTTTTATTTTACAGTCAAAATTAATTGTTACATAAATCACGTTATTGACTTTACAGGCCTTGGCTTTAGTTCCACAGTTAGGAAAATATTATTGTCCTTCTAGATTTGCGAAATTGTCAGTAACAGTATGAAGTCTGGGATGCTGCCCAGGATAATCTCCTTATTTATACCATTGAGTCACTTCCTATTTCTATGAATCCGAATAAAATTCCGTTCCATTTCCTCCCTAATGTTTATGTTATATTTGACGATGTGTTTATAAGTAGTAGCACGGAGTTTGGAATTGTGCCCAGTATATGGCAATAGGCTCACCCCCTAATACATGGGGCTCATAACATAAATAGTGGAAAGTGGGTGTAACATTGTACAGTTGCATTAAGTGCCGTAATTTGCACCTATGCCCTACCCCTTCAAGGATAAATGGCGTGATGTTATGTATGTGTTCATCAATCCCTATTTTCACTTGATCAAGTAGGTAAAATCCTAACCCAGTGCTAAGTATTTGCGTGCAGATGCGTCGAGCCGGTCCATTGTTCTTATAATTATATTGCAAAGACCAAGGTCCTCAACTCTATAGGACAGACGATGGCGAAGATACACACTTCAGTCGTTGACATTAATTCATTCAACATTCTTGTATTCAAGATATCTTGTACTTAGATTTTATTGTTTTTAATTTTTATTCTTTCTATTGTTATTGGTAAGTTCTCAGTTTGCAATCTTTTTGGCTCGAAGGACCAGATTTTCGGATAAAAGGACCACATTTTGATTTTCCTCCTAAATTTTAATCTTGATAGGCAGTGCAATCAAGTATGTTGTAGGACCTTTGTTATTTATGGGGTGAGTGCTTTGGAAGATGTAATTAACTGTTGATTATATTCTTCCAGACGAACATAAAGGAGCAGAACGCTCGTCGAGTGATCAGCTGTGGTATTTTGGAAACTCCTCGATTCGGAAGAAAGAGTAACTTCTTCTTCACACCAGGCACAAGGGTGAGTATTGAAATATTGATCCAAAAACTAACTTTGGTGATGGAAAATTTTAAACATTTAGCCTTTAGTTTTCTGCGTCGCTAAAATAACTAGGTACCTTGTAATACAAAGCCAGTATAAATACTACCGATTTCATAGGAGCAAACTTTGTTTTGAAGGTCAATCTTTTGTAGGTAAATGTAATAGAGCGAGCTTGAAATGTTTACAGGATCTTAGAACTCTTTTAATATTTCCAATAAATAATATGAATACGAATTGACGCAGGTACACCCGGTACACTCCCACAAAACCGCTATTCGTCATGGATCGAGGAATGACTTTCCTTATGTATCATCCATACTACTAACATAATTGTATTGTACCTAATAATAAGAATTGCCAACCACAAGCGTAGGTACAATCGCCGGTTTCAGTTATGTCCCATTTCATTTCAAGTCGTCTAATAGGCCTCTGCGCAGTTAACTTTAGGTCCTCGTACTCGTACCTACGTCTTGTAAAAGATCTAAATCCTATGGTCCCGTTAAGGAAAAAATACTAATATAGGTTCCGTATCGTCCGTTGGCAGGTGAACTTCGAATGTAACCAAGACTTCATTCTGATTGGTGACAAGCGACGAGTGTGTGAGGACAACGGACGGTGGAACCTTCCAGACTATGGATACACCGAGTGTCTACGTGAGTACATGTTTCTACATTAAAATACTTTGCTTTTTGTCACACTGTTAGTTCAAATAACAATACTAATTAACTTTACTTTCTGTTCAAACATTGTCTATTAATTTCAAAGATTTGTTGCGACGTATTAACATTCAGAGCAATGACACAGAGTTTTATAATATCCAGGTAACCAAGAGTACTCTCAGCGCGCACTGTTCTTGACCTGGGGCGTCATATTGGCAGTTATTCTACCGTTAGGCCTGTTGATTTGCCTACTGTGGTTCTGGTGCTGGTACAAGCCCCGCTCCGAAGGCAAAGACGGATTCCGATTCGAAGACATACCGCGATCAAAATCTGCTTCCAGACTAAACCTAAGATCAGCTTCGATGGGAAATCTTACGGACACTATGAAATCTTCCACTTTACGTAGCACAGATTCTGATAAAAAGGCCAAATTACCGGAAACTCCCACTGAGGAGACCCCAATGACTAGATCTGCTCCATTAACTAGGGCCGCTCCACCTCCCCCACAAGATGGTGATAGCTCAGGCATAGGGTACCCAGATTCCAATAAGAGTGACTCCAATAAATCTGACAAATCTAATAAAAAGCGTAGGGCCTATGACAAGACTTATCGAACTAACGAACCTATCCCGAATGCTCCTAACGAGGAGTTCCCTGAAAAACTTTGGGATCTATCTGAAGAAGACTTACTTTCTATAACATCTCCTTCAGATACCGAATCAAACAGAGATTCAACTTTAACTCGCCCGGCAAAAGATATAGAATACGTTGGCAGACCACGTCAACTCGGTCGCAGGGCGTTGCCCAGTGACTCAGGTTATTCTACAAAGGATTCTGAAGATCCATACTCTCCTAAATACGAGGGTCAATACAGCCCCATACCTTCTACGTATTCTCCAACTTACTCCGAAATATATTCCCCACCGATCAGTCCTACCTCAGACAGTCCGAGGAGCACTTTCAACAACCCTGGCTTGCCGGACCCTCCAAAGAGTGCTCCTGCAGACTCTATACAGACATTCACTATGCCCGCACAGAAGGGCAAGTCCTTGGAGACTCTGATAGACCCACCCATTTCCGAAATGCCCACAATGAGCCCTCGCTCTACTATGGTCTGATAACCTTGAAAGTATTGTTCAATACAGTATTAACTGCCCATCTAATTACAGTTCCAGGAGTATTATAAGATTAGGAATAATTTATTACGTAAGAAGCACATTATTTTAGTATTTTGCACTTTATGTTTTACATAATTAGGTACTTTTAGGTTTTAATGGATTTCCGTGAGTTTCCCATCGTTGTTTTTGTTATTGAATGTTTGTAAATTCTATTAAATAATAATTTAATAAACTTATTTTAAATATATATACGCAGTCACACGAAGAGGAAATTTCTGTTCCCATTTCGGTAGAATAACTTGATCAATTGATTTTGTTTTAGGTAAGAAAGCAAGGAATAACGTCACGGGCCACGATATGTGGAATAGAAATTTTCTCTGAATTGTGATGAGTTATTATTTACTTCTTCCTAATCTGTAAGGTTATTGCTTGCTTTCTTATCTAGTGTACATAAAAAAACCAGGTCATATGAACAGGTACGTGTATCAATTTTTTTATTTGCATTGTGTTTATCTTTTAGGGCTTTGCGCAGCTGATAGCGTATCTTTGTTTTTTGATAAATTGCGTTATAAGGGCTGAGTATTTTTTTCATCGTTGGGAAATTGTATTGGCTGATAAGATTTTTATATTATGAGGTTGTTCAAATACAACCAATGTTATGTTGTCATATGAATCGACGGGCCTTTATAATTATGCTGGGGGAGCAAGTGAGACATGAGATTTGCTAAATATAACTTGTGTCCTAAATACATCACAAAACCTAAAAAGATCTTCGTGAGTTTATACTTTCATAGACTTTCACAGACTAAAGAAACATACAATAATACTTTTTAAACAACACAGGTAAGCAAGAGTACTCGTCCCGTACATTGGGCGCGACATGGGGCATCATCAGCGCCATCATGATACCAATTGTGATTGTACTGATATGCATCGGATGGAGGCTTCTACTGCGCAAGAAGCTGAGGAAAAAGAAGAGAGGGAATTCATGAACATCAAGTAAGTATTTTATAATATCCGTCGAGTCGTGAAACATACTGCATTAACTAAAAATGATGGTTTGCTCACGTAAATGTACCGAAAAGCTCTACTAGTTTCGAACCACAGAGGGTTTCATCATCGTTTTCAGCTCCATGTTAACTTCCTGCTGAAGTAACAGAGTGCTTCGAAAGTTTAATAACGTACTACGATCAAAGAGACAGTTACCTAATTATGAAGATATGAAGATGAATATATCGCAGTAAAGGAAAGCTACCAATACATAATGTATTTAGAGTTCGATTTCCACAGCCCCCAGTGAAGCAACTACACCTTGGTTGACCCTACATTCTTGGACACGCCCGACAGATTTTTAAACTTCTAATCAAAAAATTTCAATAAAAATTATTAATATTAACTGTTCCAGGCCATTGGACCCTGAGGAATCCCTTCGAATCAATTCTGATGACGAGAGCATACCGTACAAGAAGGATACATCAGACGATACTCCGGAGCCAACGGAACCGGTGAAGGTGGTGGATAATGTAGAATCTTCGCCGGAACCTATGCCAGCACCTATTCCGCCGGCACCCATGCCAGCACCTTTACCGGTAGTGGGCATCCCATACCCAGCCTACGGCATGCCTTATGACCCGAGCAGACAAGCTCGGCCGTACGGCGGGGAAACCGAAATTAATTAGTTTATGACTATCAAACATGGTGTCGGTACAAAATTGAGTTTAGCCGTTGGACCATAAGACCAGTATCTAAACCATAAAATGATGCCATGCCGTGTCGGATTGTATTAGAAATAAAACTGAAATAATTTTATCAAGACAATTTATTGAAAATTATTCCGTTTTATTTTTAAATAATAAGATACTTAGGTGTATTTGGATAAAAAATTAAAATTGCATTTTTAAGTTATATTTCGTGGTTCTAATTTGTACAAAACGTTATAGAATAGAAATATTTTTTTATATATATACCTTAGTTTGTTATAAATAATAACTACTTTTTCTACGACCAAATATTCGAGATCGAGTTCGTCCTCTTCTACCGTAAAAATTATATTATATGAAAAAAAAATCCACAAAATGGCTAATAAGCTCAATCTAGATTTATATTGAAAAAAATAAATTTAATTGGTCGAAGCGCCACCACAATTACACTATTTCTCTTTCAATTTAAACTACAACTACTTGTAACTATCTAGATAGAAGTTGCACATGCAGAATATATTTTTATACCTATTTAAACACTTTATAAGAATTATTATCTACTATGTACCTATTAATTCTACTGTTTTAATTGTTATCAAAAATTATTTCCCGTTGTTATATATCAACACTAACTTTGGAATTTGTCCACTCAAAATTCGGAATCCATGAATAATCCCACCATTGAAATAACTCTAGGTTTAAGTAAATAGGTATCTTATTTTAAATTTTAATTAAGTACAATGCCTGTTTTGTGTTACATGACAACAATTCAGATAAAATAAGCATTCTGACATTCATATTCATGTCTAGTGTACATTTAGTTAAATAAAAGTTTTATAATATTAAAGTTTGTGTTTCACTTGTTCATTTATCTTTCATACGTTTACTTTTCCACCTACAGTCTGCCAATCATTGGAACAGGTAGGTACAGTAGGTAATAGTACATTTTGTTCAGTAGTCGACGTCTTACTTTTTTAACGAATTATATCCCATTGGAATTACTTATTTGATTCTGTGTTAATAGTAAAACAAATTACAGAGTACCTGAATTCAAAAATATTTATTCAGTCTAAAAATGTGGATGGTAGGTACCTAAGCAAAAGTTGCAATTTCCTGTTATCCTGTGCTGATTGTATTTAGATATGCGGTGCTGCCACTGATTTATACGTTATATGGGTGCTGTACGTACTACTCCTATTTAATTGCTGCTATGATATTTTTCTCTATGTAGGTATATAACATAAGTACATATCGAATGAATATACAGTTCGTAGGTACTGCCAGGGACGTCCCCTTACCCTGTCTAATATAGGTTGCCTATGAGACGACTTGCTTCATCGTAGACCGTATCATAAATAAATAAATAAATAAATAAATCATTGCTTACTACCAGGCGAGATAGTGGTCAAACGACGGCCCATCAAATATAAAAAAATATTCTGTCAATTTTTTATCTATGGTCCCACTGCGCGATCGCATGACATTGACTTGTCACTGTCACTTTGTCAGATGAAAGAAGTCAAAAATTTTAGGCTAAATACTGTTTCGGTTTTATATTCCAAAATAAGTTTAAAAAAATGCATAAATAATGTACAAATTGAGCAAATATACGAATGAAATAAATATGCTTCAGTTAAAGAAGTACCGATAATTACTTGATTGTGATAAATTAATGTTACATGAAGTTACAAAACAAAGTAATTCGGTTCTCGCTATACACTGTTATTAACTTAGACCAAATGAATCGTGAAATTATGATTGAATGTGTTGATAAATTTTTATCATTTCTATTTACTATGTACCCGGTTTAGTCTCTGCGCAACAAGATGTACCGGCTTTATTAAATTATTAAATATTTTGCGGGTGCAAGGTAGGATAATGTATTTGTTATATTAATTTTGCTATTTATTATTATATTTAATGTTAGTAACCCACTTGGTATCAACTCTAAATACCCTCTAACGTAACAAATACAAATGAAGTTAGATACCTGCATAAATAACTAAATATATTTATTAGAAGGCTTTGTATGGATTGCAACTTGTGTATTATTGATTCTTTAAGCCTTTGAACTCTCAAAAGTTATTTAACTACAAAAACTATGGCTTGGTGATAAAAAGGGCCGAAATTCATACCGAAAAGTAATTAAACTTCTGATACTAACTGACTTTCTAAATATTTATCTATAGATGCTAAAATCAAATTTAACAATTTAACAGCTGATATTGATTTAATCTGTCAAACACCAAGCGGTCACCGGTGACCGCGACCTATTGTTCTTTAATTGTGTCTATAAAACCGGTACTCGACGAGTTAAATTTGTACTAGTGAAATATCTATGGTTATGAATAAAAAAAATCTAGAGGTAGTAAAAAGGTACCTTTTATGACTATCTTTGGATTAATAAAGGTACCTTGTTTATCTTAGTACTCTTATGTGGAATTTCTGATTAATCTAATATGATTTTAAATATAATTTATTCTCATAATGAAATCTTTAACACATCTCTGAATATATATATTTTATACTAGATCTCACTACAAGTGTGAATGGAAACGCTAATAGACTAATTTGACTTCATAATTATAACAAGGCATCAAGATGAAAATGAAAACGAGAAAATTGTGTACCCGACATTGGTTGGCAGCGTTTTGTGGAATCGGACTAATACTGTACTTCTGGTGGCTTATATCTAAAATAACCTTGCTGGAATCTCAGAACAAAGTATTTAAGACACAATTGAAATATTCACAATATAATACTTTGGTGAAGAAGATGTCCGTTGATTCCGTGTCTACATATGAGGTTCCTGTGGTAAGTCATTTACGGCACATATAAATATTATATCTAAGTGACAAGTTGGTGTTTGTGTGCTCTGTGTGTGTGTATTTGTATGTGTCTATATTTACATATTTTTATAACCAGTCTTGTTATGAGTCCTTGCTCCCAGGAATATGACCTGGTCTACTCTTGAAATCCATGTTTCACTTTATAAAAGTTTTCTTTGGTCAAGATAGAATATAACAAAAAAGTAAGCAATCACCCTATACTGTCTAATATATTATAGAATTTAATACATCATAACATAACATCACACCTTTTATCCCCGAAGGGGTAGGCAGGCACAATTCCAGACTCCGTGCTACTACTGCGATTTTTTTAAAAACCCCAGTAAATCTTTGCCCAACCCGGGAATCGAACCCGAGACCCCATTGCCCTGACCTTGCGTTTCTGTGAATTTCATACATAACAACGGGAATATGAAGTTCAAAATAATTATTAACATAAATATGTAAAAGTTGACCTCTTCGCTAGGGCCAATATTTAAGATTAGTATAGGTACTAATCGTTAATTGTAGACTTTATTTATACTACTTCAAGAATACAAATCTATTGACAGTTCTTAACTTTTTAGATTCCAGATGCAGTCGGTACTCTATGTGAAACAGTACATATAGCACTCGTGTGTATGGGCAAATGTTCAAGACAGATCACACCAATGATCAAGTCTTTGATGCACCATCGGCAGAACCCCATACACTTCCATTTTGTTGTGGATACAAATTCACATAGAACTATTAACACACTGTTTGATACTTGGGACTTGCCTGATGGTAAGTAACTTTGTTAAACAGGTAGGTAATACACTTCTGTACTGCTATGGTAGCCTATAGAGTAAACCGCAGAGGACTTAACGGGTTACCGGGGCTCTGGCTCGAACTGCAGGAGTAGGAACGGGTGGGTTTTTAGCCAGTAAGAGTCTGACACTCCCTCTCGCCTCACCGGCGGTAGAAGTCATTGGATAATTTTGTCACTTAAAAAAAATAACCCAAGACGAGAGAAGTCATTGGTTTTCTCCCTCAAAAAAGGGCCTAGAGAGGAGAGAGTGACCCTATAGCGATACACTGGACATAATTTCAAAATATTGCTGAAAATAATCGAAAACCTTAAGAAATATCCACCCCAATAAGTCTTTGCCTGACCCATCTTTGCCTGCTCATCCCGACTTTCTGGGCAGTCGCACTTGCTTACTAACTAAAAAAATAGTAGAAGAAAGTAGAATAATATTAATTGTACATCTATTGAATTCTTAAATAGGTAGGTTCTCTTAACAATAATTTTAATACTGATTACAATTATGTATAATCTGTTACCAAATAAAAAAAAGTAAAAATAAAACAATAAAAATATAACTGCACATCCAGTTGAGGTAATTCAAAACGAATCGATTTTTATTATCTATGTGTTGTGGATAAAAACGAATCGCAATATGTGTTGATAAGCGCAGACCTCGAAAATTAGAAACGGCTGAATCAATTCAACAGTTTTTTGTATGCAGGTTTGATCGGCACTTATTCGCACCTACAGCTAGCTACGTATACATATTTGTATTGGAGTTTAGTGGAAGTATAGATTATAACTTCCTTATTTATTTTTAATATTCGGTTATTTTTTACTTATTTCAAATCTATCGAGCCGCTACATACAGTGGCGTAACTACAAGGTGGCAAGTCGGCGCAAAATACCCCGAACTGCATAGGGCCTTCGTTCACTTCTCATTTGAACTTCTATTTTCTATATGGTGAAGAGAGGGCTATCTGATGAATTTGCCCAGGAGCCTCGGAAGGTATAGTTACGACACTGTTCATACATAGTTCCATAGTCGCCTCGTCGTTAATACCACTACCCAGTAGCAGTTTCGTGGTCACACAGTTGTTAATTAGCTTTCGATTTTCGAAATCACGGTACGTCGGAACCTGAAATAAAGGTCAATGACATATAGCAATAGGGTCACCCCCTTTACATAACGTAATTATTAATGTAACTAACAAAATAAATAGATGCGTACAACGCGTGCACTAGTTTGGATTGATGTATTTTCACTACATAGTATAAAACAAAGTCGCTATCCGCCGTCTGTCTGTCCTATGTATGCTTCGATCTTTAAAACTACGCAACGGATTTTGATGCGGTTGTTTTTTATAGATAGAGCGATTCTTAAGGAAGGTTTATATGTATAATACATGCATATTGCATCCGTGCGAAGCCGGGGCGGGTCGCTAGTATACTATATAGTTTAATTTTTTTTTATGTTTAAATGCTGTTAAACTTATATTCCTATTTCGCACAATTTCAGTGAAATACTCATGTTATAACGCCGAAGGATACTTATCACAAGTTCAATGGATCCGCAACAGCCACTACTCCGGTATTTATGCGCTGGTAAAGCTCCTGTTCCCAGACATACTACCTGACTCTCTCAGTCAGGCCATAGTATTGGATTCTGATCTGACTTTCCTGTGTGATGTCGCTGAGCTGTGGGCCATGTTTAGGAATATGACTGATGACCAGGTGAGTTTAATGTTGTGGGGTTTAGCATCATACATACATGACGCTCACGCCTGTCTCCCATTGGGGTAGACTAAGACTATGGAAAGCCAATGGAGTTATCGTATTCTCACCAGGTGGCGCTAGTGACCCTCTCGTTCTTCGTCCAATAGGGAATTAGCTAGTGTCACGCCATTGGACATTCAATATTTGACAGCTGCTGTAATTGGGCAAAAATACCCCTTTGCTACGATTCTTACATATCTCTTTCACTGCATCATCAGTCATCAGTTTTTTCATGCATGCTCGTCGGTTAAGGATACTTTTAATTTGGCCCTTTCATATATCGCCAATCTGGTCGATAAATGTCTAGGATTTAGCATCAATGGTGATTGAAATGTATGATGATTTTTAGACATGTTTTAATGATAATTGTAATACATATTTATTTTTGGATGGGGTGTCATCACGAGTTAGCGTGTAGTTGACCTGTTGACCCAAAGTACAGGTTGTTGCTGGCGCAAAACCTATCGCTGAACGTCTGTCTAATTTCGATAGTTCACCAAAATTGGAGAACCAATCGCTAGACATAAGCAAATGTCTATTGGACAAAAAAACTTTACGCTTCACTAGGGAACCTATTGCCAAATTATTGTATCATATGGATAAAAAACAATACTGTTACTAATAATAACTTTTCACAGTTTATAGGCCTAGTGGAGAATGAAAGCAGTTGGTATTACACGAACAAACCAAACCGATGGCCAGCATTAGGCCGAGGTTACAACACAGGAGTAATGCTACTAGATCTCAAGAAAATAAGGACTACTACAGACTGGACGAGGCTCTGGCGGGATGCCGTCAACGACAACATAAAAAGACTGAACCACACAACACTGGCTGACCAAGATGTTATCAATGCCATTATTAAAAGCCATCCTCGTTTTGTCTATGATATGAGCTGTCAGTACAACGTACAAATGTCGACTACGACTCTAGCTAAAAATTGTTATGGGGAAAATAAGGATAATGTTAAGGTAAATTGTTTGTATGTGATATTGTATTCCTCAGAGACACATAATTGCTCCTGCGAGTAATTTCTGTTTACATAATGTAAACGGTTCGAGGATGCTCGATTAGTTTCAAGCTATGATTGGGGCTCATAACCATAACAGCGATTGTCGCACTCGCAGTGCGACGATCGCTGTCACGCTACTGCTGTCATTATTAACGGCTTTATTAGAGAAAAACGTTTTAACTTGTCAATCAATAGTAATTGTACATGAAAATAACTTCTATATTATTATTTCAGATAATACACTGGAACTCTCCATTAAAATACGGCGTGAAGATCCGTGACGCTCATTATTTCCGCGACATTCATCAGTCGTACGTCAACTTCGACGGCTACCTCCTGAGGGAGAAGCTTCACAGGTGCACCTTTATACAGCATGTTACTGTCAAAGTTAGTATACATTCTTTAACATTTACCTTTGATTATGCAATGTCTAGAAGGAGGGTAGGGAGGCCTTTGCCCTGCAGTAGGACGATCATGGCGGAAAATAAAATAAATAAATATGTAATGTCTAGATAGAGTGTCAGTTCACGAAAAGCGTTTCAAAAATTTACAGTGAACTGTTCACTGCAATGCACTTTCCCGTCAAGTAGTACCAATAGAATTGTATCACCTAGACGTCACTACGTGTCACGCACGCTACTAAATAAATACATAAACAAAAAAGTACATGACAAAAATGGACACATGCTCCATAAAATTGTGCGGAACAGATCGCTTATCCATCGTTAAGTAGTTTGAAAATCAGTTGGCGGGGCACGCGGTTTCGATTCCCGCACGGAGCAACTCTTTGTGTGATCTGCAAATTGTTGTCCCGGGTCTGGGTGTCATGTGTATGTAAACTTCTATGTGTGTAAACGCACCCACGACACAGGAGAAAATCCTAATATGAAGCAACGTATTAAAAACATATATACTTTGCAGATGAACAACTCGGACCTATGCACCAGTTTCCGCGCGGCCCAGCAATTGAAACTCCGCACACATCTCTACTTCATGGACTATAGCTACAAGAACAATGACAGTTTCGATGTGACGTTAGCTCTACAACTGTCTATGGATCGTCTACTGTTTCTTGAGAGACTCGTTAATTACTGGGAAGGTATGCTTCATTCCAATACCTAATGTCAGCCACTGGATTTTATATAAAACTAGCGGACCCAACAGACGTTATCCTGCATATCTACTTGAATGTATAAACAAAAATTCATTCAAATTAGTTCAGCAGTTTAGGATAAAAATAACCTAAACATCGACTGCAGCGCCATCTGCCGGGCATTTGTGAATTTAAACCATTCCCAGATCCCCTTGAACACACACAAAAAATTTCGTCAAAATCGGTCCAGTCGTTTGAGAGAAGTTCAGTGACATACACTCACAGAAGAATTATCTATGTAAAGATTACTTGACGTCTGAATATGCAGTGGTGATTAATTTATCGCCGTAGCTATTAAAACACTCAACCTTTTCCACTTGATAATATTTTCACAATTAACTCAGTTTACTGTGAAGTTTATGTCATTAAGGGCCCCGATGTAGCTTGAAACTAGTCGGGCATGCTCGAAAATATTACGTCTGTATTAGTTTGTCTTCTGCAAATTATTATTATGTTTCTACAGGACCACTGAGTGTAGCTATTTACTTAGCTGACTGTGATGTGGGGAAGCTATTGAACTTCATAGAAAATTGGTCTGATACACTGCGAGACAGGAAGAATATCGGGTACCATCTCGTGTTTAAACATGATCAAGTAAGTTATAGTTTCTTTTTTTGCGATTTTTTCCCAACTTAGTCTTGTAATGCGAGTGATTGGTGTATTTGCTGACTAGATGGCGCTAATTTCTAAGTGTGGGAAAGCCATGCTTCGGCACGAATGGGCCGGCTAGACCGGAGTGAAACCACGGCCTCACAGAAAACAGACGTGAAACAACGCTTGCGTTGTGTTTCGTCGTGTGAGTGAGGTTACCGGAGGCCCAATTACTCTCCCCTTCCCCAATCTCCCTAATCCCTGAATCCCTAAAAAAAAAATAGTTAAATGGTCTTGTTTGTTCAATCAAGGAATAATTAACAATTATTAGTTGCTAATCGCAGTTAAGTCACTAAAATTTTTGAGGGTACTACTGTCCACACCGTGATGGCTAGTCTTAGATTTAGGGCATGCTTATACCTGAGTCCACGAGCTCCCTATTTTATTTGAAACTTGCTACTGTCGCGTAGTTTTACCCGCTTTGCTCAGTTCTTAATGATCGGAGCGTAATGTTTTATAGCCTATAGCCTTCCTCAATAAATAGGCTATCCGACAAAAAAAGAATTATTCAATTCAGACCGGTAGTTCAGAAGTTAATTGCGTTCAAACAAACAAACTCTTCAGCTTCACTACATAGTATAAAACAAAGTCGCTATCCGCCGTGTCTGTCCCTATATATGCTTAGATCTTTAAAACTACGCAACGGATTTTGATGCGGTTTGTTTTAATAGATAGAGTGATTCTTAAGGAAGGTTTATATGTATATTGCATATTGCTGCGAAGCCGGGGCGAGTCGCTAGTTAATAAGATAAGATTCTAACGCACGTACATTTTATATTCTAGGTACACTACCCAGTAAACTACCTCCGTAACGTAGCGTTAGCCAACGTGAACACTCCGTACGTGTTCCTGATGGACGTGGACTTCGTGCCCATGGTGGACCTCTACTCGCACCTCAAGGCCGCCATCAAACTCATCAATCCTTATCCTCAGAAGAAGGTATGTTTGATCATGCATTGTGTTCTGTGTGCACATATTATACCTACTACTATACTATACTATACTAACTGTATATTTATCGTATACACTGGGGCTAATTAAAATCCTATTATCAAAATAAAAAATAATCGTATATTTAAATTTCGTGTGTACAGGTAAGAGGTTGGTAGTGGAGTGAATTAACAATGGTTGCGGGTTACCGCGGTATCCACACTAAATGCGCCTAATAAAATGTTCTTAGCAAATTGTTGCCTGATAGTAATGATTGATGTATCAAGTTTTTGTAGGTGTGAGGCACGCCGCAACACTAACTATAGCTTCTGCCTGCGGCTTCGCTTACGTTACCGTGGGATAAAAAGTAGCCTATTATGTGTTATTTCACACCATAATCTATCCCTTGAATTGGCGAATTGTTCGAAATATCATTTGAATTGGCATTAAAATAGTAAGTTATTTTGAAATTTTGATAAAAACAATTTACTAGAAGAATAGAGTAGATGACTAATTTTTATTTCAATATCCGTCTGGTAGATTATTTAAAAACGTTAGACACGTATTTTTTATTTTCTACCAGAAACAGATACTTTCGACGATTTCTTGATTCGAAATATCGTGTGAAGCCACTTATAGGTACGTTGCATACTCCTAAACTTTGATTTATCTGAGTATCAATTTAATATTTGTTTAACGACAAAATAAAACATACGTGTCTAATATTTTTTTCAGTACCTAACTGACGAGTAAATGGATTTTAAGTTTTCACACCTCGTCATCATGCTTATTTATAGCCAATTATACAACGGAACGGCAAATTCATAGGTATAGTAATATTTCTTATTAAATATTTAATGTTTCTATGTACAGTGCCTAGTAGTAGCAGCGTTCGAGTCGCAGCGCTACCGTAGTTCAGTCCCGCGCAGTAAGGCGGCGCTACTGGCGCGCCTGGCCGCGCGGGAGCTGGCGCCCTTCCGGCAACACGAGTGGCCGCGCGGACACCGCCCCACCAACTACACGCGCTGGACCACTGCCAACGCTCCCTACGAGGTATGGATATATAATATACATGGCATTTTTAACGCTCCAGAAATGTCACATTCAAAGAGTCAAAACTCAAAATCATTTATTTCAATTAGACCAGAGGCATGAGTAACCTTTTGGGCGCCAGAAATATCCATGTGTCGAGTCTTTTTTTGTTGACGTTCAAAAGTGCCTTTCAGAGGGCTTAGTACGAGTTTGTATTACGAGTACGCGTTCGACGCTCTGATTGGCCGCCTCCAAAGAACCAAACCAATCAGAGCGCCGAATGCGTACTCGTTTCGATTACTTTAAACGTAAATAAAACGTACTCTAATCGTACTAAGGCCTCTGAAAGGCACTTTTGAACGTCAACAAAAAACACTCGACACATGGATATTTCTGGCGCCCTAAAGGTCATGCACATTGTACTCACATGGATGCTTCTGGCGCCCTAAAGTCAGGTGTCTGTTACACATGAATATTTGTGGCGTTCTACAAATACGTACAACTATATAACACGGTATATTGATATTTACAGTACTCTGTGAATGCACATTTATATAGTACTTCACACATTTTAATATCTCTAGCGCCCTCCGGATTAAAAATTACGGCACTATACTGTTTAAATTAAACGTTTTGATGTATATTTCAGGTTGAATGGCAGTCGGACTATGAGCCGTATTTAGTAGTGCACAGATCTGTGCCTAAATACGATACCAGGTTCTCAGGCTTCGGTTGGAATAAGGTAACGTTAATAATCGAATCTAGATCTAGTTAGAATTGAATCTATACTCCGTCAGTTTAGGTAGTTAACTATTTGTAAACAAACCATAAAAAGAGTTCTTTATAGTTGACATTTCCATGATTCAAAATACTTCATAAGAAAATAAAATTGTTTCCGTTTTTACGACAGTTTTCTCTATTAAATGTTATGTTTCTGTTCCTTTTCACTTATTTCTTAGTAAATATTATATATATCTGCTTGAGCATAATAATTTAATAACATTTATTAAATAATATAATATTTCATTACAATAGACACCATAAAGAGCCTAAAATCCCAGGTATCCAAAACTTTTCTTTAAGAACGAAGCAAAATAATGTTGTCAAATTAAAGAGTACAACTAAGATGTAGCGCGACAATGAAAGTAGCGTGTATTACGTTTAGTCGGTTAATCAGGCGCCATTGACAGCTCTCTCGTCGTTTGCCTCGGAACAATAACTAAAGCATGGAAGCCAGGCTAAAATAACAACTACAATCCATATATTCATCTTTTTTTTACTTATGGTATTGATAGTGTATAAGAAAGAGACATGTGTATTGTTTCGTTTCGTTATTATGCGGGTTGTCACTACTTGTAAATATGCTAGTGATGGGAATATATTAATATATTTTATCGACAAATTATGGTACCTGAAAGTATTGCTGCTGTGATTTAACGTACATTAGGTTCTTTATCTGTATGTTGTGGGTTCAGAGATAAAACACAATATTAAAAAGATAATTTAATTGCTCACAAACAAAGCATATTTACAAACCGTGGTAGTGGTGTACTATTATGTGTTTATCATTGACTTTTAAATATGTGCGAATTTTTTCGGTAGGTACAGTTAAATTTTTAGTTACATAATGTATCCTAAGTTTAAAATATTTTTGTGCTATGGACTTTATAAGATTTCTGTGATCATCATAGAAAGATTGTTCTAATGAATAATCTTTTTTTTCACGTAAATTTTTTGACGGCAACACATTTGCTGAAACTTTATTAATCAATCTAATAATTATTTTAGTTTACCGAGAGATTTTAAATCAATATGCACTTGATATTCTCTTATAATTTTTTCGGACAGTTGACAGATCTTGGTTAAGCCATATATGTTGGTTTAATCTGTCAAACACCAAGCGGTCACTGGTGACCGCGACCTATTGTTCTTTAATTGTGTCTATAAAACCGGTACTCGACGAGTTAAATAGGCCTCCTCTATATTTAAAGATATCAAAGATCTTTAAGGAATACTCTCCGTAATTCTAGGCATTTTTCGCATTGCAAAGATTTTTTAATTTCGTTCCGATAAAGCCGATTATGTATTCTATGACATTCTTAGAATATTCCGTAATAGATGATGGGTACAAAATGTAGTCGTGTTCTGTCAAATCATCAAAAGTATCATGTGACTCGGGCTCTAAACGACGTCTATACTATAAAGAACTTCAAAGCCTAACTAAAATATCGATATGTAACATGACCACATCACTAGCTTAAAAACTAACTTAGAAAATTGTTTTAGATTTTTTAGGAAAAGATGGAATAATACTGTTTAGGCTTGCAATTGAAAAGTACGACAATAAATAAGTAACATTTATTTATAGTTTACCGGTATTTCCAGTATAATTTATTTTAAAACATATCAAAAAGTTACGAATGAAAGTGAATTTTTTCACCACTGTTTTCTTTTCTTCCTAAATGTGAATTGCAGCCGTCAATCACACAAGACGTATTTTTATTAAGTAAAACACATAATAAAGAACGACCATACACTTCCTTTCTTCCTTTCTTTTGCGCTAATTCCTTAGAAAATATTTTTTATTATCAGGAGCCGTAAATACAACCACGGTGACACTTCAGTACTATAATCCGGCAAAGTGAGGAAGGTGTCAAACTTGAGTGAAACTGTGAAACATAGAACGTCAAAACGTGATTTTGAATTTGGTAGTATGCTGAATGAGTCCAATGACATAAGATTGTAATGAGTCCACTGAAAGTTGTGACAACCTGCAAATTATCAGAACTATGTTCAGTTTGCGGTCTCATTCTCGCCTACGCAAGCAGCAGCATCAGATATATGTTTGTAAATTGCTATTTTAGCCTGGCTTCCATGTCTAGTTATTGTTCCGAGTCGTTTGCGCTCGCGTTCCTATTTTTTGAATTTATCTTGTTTCTTTGTTTTGTTTTCGTTATTAAGTTATTCAAGTTTACGTTATTCATCGTTTGTAATTAATGTGTTCAAATATTTTAAAGAAACTTGGCCCAAAGACACATATCCGTACAAGAAAGAAATCCGTACATCAGATTCAGAATAGTTTCTATTTAAACATGATAATGAAATAGACCCATAGGCAAGGCTCTTGTACGATTTAGGCATTTGTAGTTGTATATGTGTGTATGACAAATGAACGAGTTTAAAGTGAATTTGGTTAAAATTAAAACACGAGAAATATTTGAAGTAATAGTAGGTTAAGTATCTCTGTGTCACGTGGTTTTCTTTGTTTACCTTTAGTTAATTACCTAAACAGATGGACTATAGGTTTCAATTACCATATCATTTAATGATCCTACTGAGTTAGGTTTTCGATTTTTTATTCTTAGTTTTTACTCACATAGTCTGATCTTCTATTAATGAGACTTACAACATAAGTAGTGAAAAGTGAGCGTTACATTGTATAGAGCTGCGTTTAGACAAACCGAGTATGGTGTGGACCGACTCACAAGCTTCTAACGAACGCGCTGCGAGCAAAACTACGTTCGCGGATAGTGATTGTTTCGTGTTCGGTTCGTGCCCAGTTCGTCTAACGTAGACACAGCTTAAGTTATTACCTTTGTCCTTTCTTATTAGGTATCAAAAAACCATATATATATTAAAACTCAAACTTAAATGTTGATGAACAAAAGAGGTAAATAAGAATCGTAGCAATTGGCGTTCCATTGTCTCTGCCTTCCCCAATGGTATTCAAACTTATAGCTGTCTTCATTCTTGTTAGGTATCCCACAGCGTCGAGCTCCGCGCGCAAGGGTACCGCGCGGTGGTACTGCCGGGGGCCTTCGTCGTGCACACGCCACACGCGCCCTCGCAGGACATCACCGCCTTCAGGGCGGACCCGCACTACCGCATGTTAGTATACCATCTCTCTACTATTAATATTTTACGACTTATTTTTACTGAACCCGACGATAAAAATATTGCGTGACTTTGGAAAGACAAAACAGGTAAAATGAAGCCGATAAAATGAATGCACTATTTCCGAATCTATAAAAATGTGCTTAAACGACTTTTTCACAATGATGTATCATCATGATATTATACCCCCTTAACCAGGCTCACCGTTAGGTAAGTAAAACTATTTGAAAACCTCGATTTTCTTAAATTCTAAGTAGGTACAAAGTACATCATTTGTTCATCGTTTGCTCCCTGAAATCGATACAAAAAAAAAAAAAAAATAGAAAAAGAAATTGTTTATTCACTCATAAAGAACATGGTTCACTTACAATGAGCTTAAATGACTAATTATAGCTAGGTATACAGAGTTCTGACCAAACGGTATTAATAAATATTTTCAGATACATATTTTCTTAACCTATTTTTGAACATGGCAATCGACTGACATTCCTTAATATTATTTGGCAAATTATTATACAATTGTGCTCCCTCATATGTTATACATCTTTTACCGTAATTTGTTTTGTGCCTTTATAGTTTAATCTTGTTTGTATTTCTCAAGGAATGATAAAATGATCTCATAGTAAACTTGATCTCAGATTGTATTTGACCCGTTAGTAATAAATAGACTTTAATAACCCCAAAATAATTCTCATTATCACAATTTCAGCTGCCTTGCCTTATTGAAACAAGAATTCATGGAGGACCTCAAGAGTAAATACAACATCACATTCAAAGAACCTTCGAATTCAGACCCAATGTACCTAGCACAAGCTAAGAGTTTAATACTAAACCAAGCAGGAGATCAGGACCTAAACTAACAAGGTTCTATTCACCAGGTGGCGCTAATGTAGCTTAAGATCATGTTTATTCAATCAAGGAGGCCCAATACCCCAACGCCCAATCCCAAAATGCCCAAATCTCAAATTCCTAACCCTAAAGAGCTGGCATCGCACTTGTAATTCCACTGGTGCTAGGGGTGTCTATGGGCGGCGACGATTGCTTACCATCAGGTGATCCGTCTGCTCGTTTACCGCCCTATTCCATGTTTAATGGCTGCACTTAGTAAGTAGTTGGATAAATGACCTCTAGCTACACCTGCGACCCTGGCGGTAGCCCTCATTGTTATATTTGTAACTATGGTTGTCTAAATAATTGTCTAATCAAACCTGCAGCATGTCTTATGAATGACCCTTAAGAAAATAGAAACTCCAAGAGTTTGCCATTACATCTTTTGATAAAGACGCTTTATTTTTGCGCATCCTAGATGGCGCTGTTGTAGCTTATGCTCCTCTTTGTTTAATTATGACTATAAAAAAGTATCTCAACAGGTATAAAAAGTGATGTACTTCATAAGACATGCAACTGGATTAATAAGAAACAAATGTAAATGCCCCAATTAGTACTATTAAGGATAATTTATGTCCCAGATACGTAGTCTTTGACTTAACAATGTGATCGAAAAATATGGTGAATATTTTGTTGACTTAATATTATGGTGAATGATATTTTAATGTGTATTAAGATCGGGGTGCTTACTCTTGAAAACAATCCCAATATCAATTCATTAAAATCTCAATAATTATTCAATGTCAACACTATACTAAAATTATGTAAAGACTGTTGAGAAAGCGAATAGCATTCAGAATACGGAATATAAAGTCACACTCAATACCATTTAGTTCGTTCAATATCCACGCAATACGGATGCAATGGGCGCTAGTGTTGCAACTCAAGATTTATAATATCAATATCGATCGATCGGCAATGGATTCAAGAGTAAGCCCTCTAATCTGTGTGTCTATGCCTGTAACAATATTCACCGTATTTTTCCTTATACCTTCGATGTCAAATCGGGTTGATTGAAGTAAGAATTTTTTAATCACGTAAGAATTGCAATAATGTTTATCTACGAATCTAAAATAGTCATTGAGATTAAAATAATGAGCAAAATATAAATGTATACAGTGTATTATAGCGTAGGTATATTATGTACATGTACAATGCATCAGTTTTTGCACGTAGTCTAAGGTCCCGGCCCCACTTGTCCATTATCCTGCGTTGCGTCGTCGCAGCGTCGTTTTCCATATTTTCTATGACAAGCCCTATCCGTCACGTGGACAAGAGATGAAGCGGTAGGGAGAGTAATACGCAGCGTCGACGGACAGTCATTAGTAATGACTGTAATGACTTATCATATATCATATTTGGATCTGCGACGTCGTGCGTCGTCACAAGCCTGGGCCTTAAGCCAAACGCCACTTTAGCGCTTGTCTACAGAGAGAGTAGAAATCAAAATGTATGGGGATGACACTGGCAAGTGTCAAAATTTACGTCAATCTACTATATAAAAATAAGTCGGGTTTTCCTTCCTGACGCTATAACTCCAGAATGCATGAACCGATTTCTACGGTTTTGCATTCGTTGTAAAGGTCTCGGGCTCCATGAGGTTTACGAAACATAAAACCAAAAAAAAATTCTTCATATTTTTATCACCAAACGAAATGTTACATAAAACGAAGCCACCTGGTGGCGAAACGGAGTTTTCCGGGTTTGCTAGTCCCATATAATTTGGTTTTCTATCTACATGTAGACAAGCGCTAAGTGGCATTTGGCTACAGCTGCTGGTCCCGCGTACAATGTGTTGTTTCGTCGCGACGACACGACGCAGCGCAAAGGACAAATGGAGCCTCGCTCTAAACTAAAAATTAATTCCTAAGATTAATTACTGAGATGACGTAATACCATTTATTTTGTTTAAGTATTTACGCGAAAAGTTGTCAAACTGTTGTGAATTGAAAATCAATTAATTTAACTCAAAACTCTTTGAAAGAAAATCTATAAATAATGTGACTTTGAATGGCCGTTTTCACGAATCACCACTTAAGTAAAAGTCACTAAGAGTGAGAAAACACCTAAATTAATCCCTTACTTGATTTGTCACAGGTTACGAGAGTCACCTATCTTAGCTTAAGGGTTTTTAAAATGTAGTGAAAACGGTCATAAGAATATTATTTTTGTATCGTAGCAATTCCCGCCTTAGGCGTTTTTTACTGTGTATGTAGAATATAAGAGTACGAATTTGTATGGATATAGTATATTTGTTCATGCTTTAGATACATTCCTGTTTTTTGTAAGGCCGATAGTATACGGGACACTAAAAGTCCTATTTTATTGATACAACATGGTGGTGTGACTAGTTGGGCAACCATGTTTCTATAAAGACACTGGATTAAATAGGTACTGCAATACGGTAGTTGACCACTAGTAAAATTCAATACTTTTATCGAAACGTCAATAACGATACTGAGTGCCAAGCACGGATAACTATCGCATTCGTATCGTAAAAGTATCGAGCGAGTTAAGCGTTCTGATTGGTTGGTTCACTTGAGCCGGCCAATCAGAGTGCCAAGCACGAATAACTATCGCAATCGTATCGTAACCGTATCGAGCGCGTTAAGCGTTCTGATTGGTTGGTTCACTTGAGCCGGCCAATCAGAGCGCCGAACGCGCTCGATACTATTACGTTACGAATGCGATAGTTATTCGTGCTTTTTTTTTAATCTTTATTTAATTACAGGGTGTTTTCTTAATAGAAAACATCACCCCGATTATTGAGTACAAAAATAACAAAAAGAACACTTATACTTAGACTTACATTTAAGTTAACCTACCCGCAACCTAGTACCCATAATAAGTTATTCGTGCTTGGTACTCAGTTCTATGAATTTTAGTACGAAATACCATCTTATGACGTCATCATATTTTGGCGTCAAATAGCACACTTATATCTGAAAAAAAATCTAGAATATAGCAAAAATTAAGTATATCGGCAAATCAATGAATGAAAGTGTAACTATTTTTCAATATTTAATTGGATTGAAAAATCAAAATAATTTATTTTTGACCCAGGAAACTACCCTATTGATTTGGCTGCCGACAACTTTTTTGTGCAACCAAGTTGGTAGTTAATGAAATAACCATTTTGTTTATTGCGCAACTTGGTTTTACAACCACTGTGTATCAAATAAATAAGGCCCTTAAATTGTCTTGTATAAGTATGAAGGCCTAAAACACAAGAAAGGCCATTACAGTATTTCTTTATCTCATTTTTATGTAATTTTTGTAATTAGTATCATTTAAATGTATGTATTGTAATTTAGTTATATTATATCCACATTCTGTTGAATCTGTTTAAGTCTTAATGAATGTATGAATTATGGAGTAAGAAATCAGAATCTATATAGCACAGATAATGCCAAATGAAGATTTTCTCTAAAAGTACGTCAAAATATGACTAACGCGCCTCTCTTAAGTTGTCCTCCAAATTAGACGTACCATAAGAAATAAATCTCCTAAGATTAATCAAAAACTTCATTTGTTCCTTGCAAAACCAAAGAAAAATAACTCTTCGTTTATTTTGTTATATTTTGTAAGGGCTACTATAAGGTGGTAGCGCAACTGTACAGGGAAACTTCAAAACAGAAACTTATAACATCTTAGTTGACATGGATACATCGTTCGGCGCTCTGATTGGCCGGCTATAATAAACCAACCAATCAAAACGCCGAACGCGGTCTCGTTTCGACTACTTTAAACGTAAAATTAAAAATTGTAATTGAAAAACATAATAGAAGCACTACTCGCCCATAGAATTTTCGAAAGTTCCCCTCGGTTTCCCTAGGATCCCATCATCAGATCCTGACCTCATGGAAACGGGACCATCTCGGGAGTACACCCTTTCAAACAAAATAAGAATTTTGGAAATCGGTTCACAAATGACGGAGGACTGCGCGAACAAACAAAAAAGCACAATCAGCCGAACATAGTCCTCCTTTTTTTGAAGTCGGTAATTAATTCGCACTAAGCCCTTTTGTGATCAGAGTGTCTTGAGATATGGCTCTGAAATAAAACACTGCAGAGTACATGACACAAATTGTAACGGAAAAGTTTATACGGAATTGATCGTTTATTTTTTATAAATGTTTAATTTTTTTTCAGCAAGGAACCCGCGTTTTATGATTATTTAAGTTAATGTTTTGTGGTTTTACGCAAATTGTGATATTATTCCTTTTATTGATTTTATACCCTATACCATCACAAATCAATTATTAGTAGTTATTAGGGAATCTTGCCAAAAGATGTAAACTTGTATATCTTCGCTTATATTTTAATACACAATATACACTTTTTTAAATTTTATTGTACCACACGATTTAATTGTGATGTAATTATAATTTTACGTATTTTTTATTGTCATTGCAAATTATTACCTGTAACGTTATATTTTTTTATTTAAAAATGGCAGACGTGCCAGTTTTTGCAGCTAATTTGTTAATTCGAATAATTATGATGTAAATTGATTTAATCGTTTGTATTTAGAATATTTACGCATAATAAGTTACCTATTTTTCGATATTATGTCGCCAAAGAATGTATTATTTTTGAGTATTTTGTTTGATTATTTTTTTTATTGTAAACGTTGTAAGCACGCCAACACTTTGGTGTATCTGTGAACATTTTTACGTAATATTACAAAAACAAAGAAATTAATCGGTTAAATGTGTTTTATTTCTTATTATGAAGACAAAATTATCTTGGTATGTTTTTTTTTTCAATGAAGGTATCACACGTGGGCGCAAACAATTAAGGGCTCGTACATAAAACTGATGCGATACGATGCGAACTCGCATCACAGAAAATTACGACTCGAATATTGTTGCGATGCGATTTCGTGCGATAAGGCGTCTCCCAGGCTGACCATTGCTTCGACGACCGTCAACCGTAATAAACGTATTTCAAATTGAAACCTAGCTCGTGGCATGGGTCGTAAAAAGAAGTGTGTACTTTTGTTATTGCTTAGGAGATACAAGAAAAAGGAACAAAGATGGTTTTAGGAAAATAAGATTTTGATGCGCGAGACGAATCAATTCGCAAGTTCTTGCGATGCGTAGAGGGAGCTCGCAGTATTTTGCGATGGGACGTCGCATGGCAGTTTTGTGTACGACCCCTTAATCAAAAATAAAACAATATTCTGGACTCATATTGCACACAATACATTCATAATGAAGTGTCAATTAACAAAGTTGGTGAAAATCGATTGTCTTGTACAAAACATCGAACAATTCCTTCAATAACTTTCAATGCCCACCATCTTGGATTCCGCATTCGTAAACAAATTATTACTGTTAGGATTTTCTTTTGTAGTCAGCAACCAAATTAAGATAATTATCTGGAAATCCATATCTTGTATGTCCTTTTTCAAATTTGCAACCGCCTTTTTCGCAGTCACTAAAGGAGAATTGTCGTTCATTGAGGATCCCTTGGACTCTGTCCTTTGTTTTATATTCTCTACTTTAGAAGTCAGTTCGTTCAACATCTCTTGCCTCTCTGTCACTCCCACACTGACGTCTTTGTATTCATTCGTCACTTTGTTCAGCTCATCCAAGAGCGCTCCATATTCTCTAACTAAAGGCTCAAATTGTTCGTTCAGTATGTTTTCTCTAGCAGATATCTTGTCCATGACAGAGCTTATATTTGTATGCAGTTTATTCAGTTGTGAACCAGTTGTTTTGTATCTTTCGAATAGTTCGTCTCTGTAAGTTCTCATTTGAGAATGTCTCGCCCTCCAATCGCGACCATCTGCTGATATTTTAAGTCTAAGCGCTGGTGCTACCCTTTCCAGTTCTAGTTTCCACGCTTCCCAGTCATGTACTTTCTTGACCAAACTCGAATCCTTTTCTTCTTTATTAAATTCTTCTTCAGATTCTCCAGAATAAATTGCCATTTCTTCTTCAACTTTGTCTAGTAATATTTCTGTTTCGTCTTCAACTTGGTCGACGTCATCAGCAGCTTCCTCAGGCTCTGGTATATCCACGATTGGTTTCTGCCATTCGAATTCCTCAGATTTTAAAGCTTCGTCAGCAAGAACATTCAATATGTAGCAAACTTGTTCACCATAGCCTTGTTTAAGTTTGTGAGAAGAGAAATCGACAGCAATGTCCTTTTCTCTCAAGATGTCGAGGATAGTAGCAATTACACTGTTTGGGTCATCTTCCTCGTTCGGTTGTTCAAATTCTTTCCCAGTTTTTCTGATCAGCCACGCAGCAGTGGATGCGAAAACATAAAATTGTTCCCCAGGATTCGTACCAGTGATAAAATAATACCTACTCATCGGTTTCATCTTTATTTGCGAACGTAACTCGGTGTCGACTTTTAATAATCGCAATTTGTCCATTAATTTTAGATCCATTTTCCTTAATGTTTTACGGAACTATTATTAAAATTACAAAATAGAAGCACACACTCGGTAATGGTTTATTTTCGATTCTGTCAGTCAAATGTTTGGGCGGCGTTACCATGGCAACGCAGCCGGTTACTACACTCAAAATTACATCGATTCGATGAGTCAACGAGATGGAGGATGGATAGAAAATCCTATACAAATATTGTGTCCATTGCGTAGTTTTATTAACTTCTTATTTTTTAATAATTCAAACTGATTTAGATATATCCACAAAGCCCACAATTTTTACAATCTTTTTTCCTTGAGTGTCTTGATGGTTACCAATTAATCCATTTAAAATATTGTAGTACATATAGTCATTATAAATCAACACAAGCAAATATTACGTAAGGAATGTTCGTACTGCCTCATGCCTATTGCCTGCCTCATTGGCAGAGTGATCGCAAGTGCGACTGCCGGTCAAGGGATCTCGAGTTCGATTCCCGGGTCGGGCAAAGTATTATTGTGATTTCCAAAAAAAAATCACAGTAGTAGCACGAAGTCTGGTATTGTGCCCGGTATATGGCAATAGGCTCACCCCTTATTACGTGGGATTCATAACATAAATAGTGAAAAGTGGGTGTTACATTGCACAGTGGTATAATGTGCACCTCTGCCTACCCTTTCGGGGATAAAAGGCGTGATGTTATGTTATGTAATTTTCGTACATATCCCTTCAGGAAAAATGTCGTTATTAATGAATAACAACTATTAATTAAATAACGGAAGTTTACAAAACAAGATATAAGTACGTTTGTAGAATTCAATTCGGATCGTAGTGTTGTTATTATTTCAGTAGCCAGAGCAGTGCGTAATCCCGTGACACACGACCATTTCCTACGTCAAGGAAACCTACCAACCTGTTGTAAGTAAGTAGTTGTTAAAATATTATTGAAGGTATTTATTTAATATGCGAAAATAATCTATATAAATAAAAATGAATTGCCGTTCGTTAGTCTCGCTAAAACTAGAAAACGGCTGGACCGATTTGGCTAATTTTAGTCTTGAAATGTTCGTGGAAGTGCAGGGAAGGTTTAAAAGGTGAGAAAAATATTTTTAGGCGGTACGAAGTTTGCAGGGTCAGCTAGTAAATAATACATTTTTCAATAGAACTTTACGTTTGGCACAATGTATGCACGACTGGCGCATACGTAACATGGCATTGCTAAGGATTGTGGTGATTTTAATTGTCCCACGAAGCGTTTTTTTATATGATCCACAAATTGTATATCAAGGGCGACTTACTGGCATAAACTTCTTTTTTTTTTCTTCTTTGGCAAGTGAGTCTCCAAAACGGTGTTGTCGACTATAAACTTCTTAGTACTACTAGAAGACGAGAAACAAATGGGATCTGTCAAAAGTGAGTTAAATTTGAATGTTGTCTTCTTTAATATCAAGTGATTTTTTTAAACCTGCCTACAACTCTTGAACCTGACCTTTTTTTTATGGGGGGAAATCCTCATGGACTGCCTCCGCCTGGGGAAAGGCGGAGGGGTGTGCCGGACTCTTACCGGCTAAAACCACCCCAGTGTCTCCTCACACGTGCGTGCGGGGCCACGGGAGTCCAAATTCATCCGCAGCCCCAACCTAACTTACCAAACATGCATTATAATTTAACTTTTTAACACCATTATAATTTTTATCTTGATTAAAATACATAGAAAGCCAAAATATTTATTAATGTTATTGCTACCTAACAATTGTGTTGGCTCGCTGCACGCAATTTCCGTATGTATCATCATGTCGTCCACGTGCGATCCTTGTGAGTAAATTCATTTATTTAAGAGTATTTATGGAAATTAATTTTCCATTGAAAACTGTATTGGTGTACAGTGTACTTTATATGGTGAACATATATCACATCTATAGATTCTTGCATGAGCGGTAATAGTGTGGGAGAGCCATGTTTCGGCAAGAATGGTCTGGTTCGGTTACCACGGCCTCACAGAAAACCGACGTGAAACAACGCTTGCGTTGTGAATCCCCAAGATTCCTCAAAATGCCTCTGGTGTTTTAGGTAGGCGACGCCGGTTGCTTACCATCAGGTGATCCGTCTGCTCGTTTACCGGCTTATTCCATAAAAAATGTTGAACCTTCTCAAATTTTCTTTGTCGTCAGCAACCCACTTGTGATGTCTCTGATATTGCATGTACAAGATGTGCAATCCTAATCAGGCTCTTGTTCAGCAATATAGATCTTCCGTGATCCGCCTGATGGTGTTGATGATCCTGCCTTACATTTGAGTCTTATATTACAAGAAGACACATGATTTTTGGTCCCTATGTTATTCCAAAATACTTTTTTTTATACTTGATGGGCCGACGTATGGCTACTTACTATCTTGCCTGGTAGTAAGCGATGATACGACTTACGATGCATATATTTTTGCAATAACTTCAGCCAATTACCTAGTCCGATATTTCTTTCAATAAACAAACTATTAACACTATCTAAGTATATATATTCAATCGTTTGAAGTTATTATAGGATTTCGCAACATCTGCGATGTAGTCGCGGACACCTACAGTCGACATTCGCCAGAATTCTAATGATTGCAGGAAGAATGGCTGGACACAGTGCCAATGGCATTGAATGCCAAACTTTGTTTCATAATATTGACTGTAAAGCTTCCCAAAGTTGATTTAAAGTGCTTTTTATACTGCTAATCGGTAGCAACACAGCCCGCCTGCTGGTCCCGGCCACTGCAGGCGTAGCCTACACTTGCAGCGTCAAAGGCATGACAAATGCGTTGCAGACCAAATAAGAAACTATCTAATTGTTCAACTTTTAAGGCGCTCTGGAAGTGTCTCATTAAAGGCGACACAATCGTGAATGATGTGCCTTCACCTGACCTATGTTTATTTATTTTGCATACCTAGAATTAATGGTCTCCAATTCCTTTATTGAATCGTCGTTTTTCTCTTTCATACCAGTAATAATAAAATTTAAAAATGTATATCTCAATAATGCCGTCTTTATCTCGTATTACTGGTACGATAAAATTAGAAACGTTGGCCACCACAGTGGTAGGAGCACAGTCGCGATCAGGCGTCCGCGGCGAGCGCACGTCACGTAACTGCGGTTCATATTATAAAACTTTATACACTTAATTTTGTTTTGAACTTAGTGTAGAGTGAGTAAAGTATATAGATATTGTGTTTTGTAACCGGTGCAAGTGGTTCGTGTGCGTTTTTAATTCAAAAAACGAAAATCTATTTGGATGTTTTTGATTGTAATGTGAAATTGTTTTTCGGAGGTAAGTTTGTGTTTTACTTTTTTATTGTAATTCTATTTTTTTTAAATTACTAAGGTAAGACTGTTCAACTATATTCAATCAAAAAATTCGTAACACAAAAAATACAACAAAAGCTGGTAGAAAATTAACATGTCCTTTCATGTTAAAGCAACAACTTAATCGAGTGACTGCAGCTAGCTAAAACTTTCTCACACTCTCTTAAATAAAACCAAAATTAGGAGAAATGACTAAAAACGAAAATTAAGTTTTTCTACTCCAATACTTCAAAAAGGAACACTTACGTAAAAATTTGCTCTTAAATCTTAAGTCTAACGATCAACAGGAAAGTTGCATCCATTAGGTCACCTAAGAGAAACGAGTTTGGTTTTCACACACTATTCCTACTTGTATACCTATGTTTATAAAATACAGTAGGTAAGTACCTATACATACCTACTTATTCATACATATAGCACTGTACGAAAACAACGAACTGCAGGCAGAATAATTGCAACAAAACTAACGAGCATTTAGAAATCCAATTTTAAATTTAAAAAAAGAAAACGACTAAAATAAATCCTTTTTTGACAAAGTGACTTATAAGAAAAACGTGGTTTTGAAAAAAATACAGGTTATAGTGCGTCTGTAACGGTTTTTGCATACGTAGGTATCAAGTTGTCGGTTGACGGTTCTGACGAGCGAAATTGGCGACGTTTTTACTTAATGTACACGTTTCTAACCTACTTTAGAAGTACCTGTATGCATATTAGATAGATATCTACTTGTAGACCTTGTAGTGATGGCTGAATACTTACACTTGTCACCAGCCATATTCTTCCTGTGGTTGTCGTAAGAAGCGCCTAAGGAGATACCTCTATAGAGATAGATTGAGGAGCCATGTTTGCATTAAAATAACTAGTGATATATTTTGCTGCTAAATCTAGAATTCGTGCTGCAAAATAAGCTAAACTGCTGCTAAATAATGGCGAGATCAGATTTTAAAAATCTGATGTGGCTCCTCAATCCTTGCGGATATCTTTAATAGACTGGGAAGCAGTGGTCTCTAATAAAACTAGATCATTTCTTTATCAGAGTCCGGATAACAGCGCTCTCTGACCTGGGGGCTTACTTTTGAATCCAATTCCGATCGATTGGTACTCTTGAGTTGCAACACTAGCACCTACTGCATCCGTATTGCGTGGATATTGAATGAACTAAATGATATCGATTTTAGTTTTATATTCCGTACTCTAAATACTATTTCAACAGCTACAATAGGGTTGTATGGTTTTGACATTGAATAATTGTCGAGATTGGTTTCAAGAGTAAGCTCCCAGATCCTTTTAAACTGCAATCTCTAACCGTGCCAAGCGGGGAGATTAGGGCAAAACCTTCATTAGTTAAGGAGGCACACAGTCCAGTAGGGGACTCTCACAATCACAAGCTGTTCATGACCTTGATGATGTATCTAATTAAAATAAGTTTTTTCGAAGCATATTGTTGTCTGGCGTCTTTAGAGGTCACGGGAACGACTGATCCTGTTTTGTACCTCCAGACGCAGCTAAACCATTAATAACGCGGTTCTCGTATTCAAATTCTTGAGTCGTAGCAAACGCTTCTGAGATGTCGAGCTCTCAACTAGGGTTAGGGGTAACTAGGGTTCAAGAAAGGGTATAGAGAGATGTGTCGACTTTCTCCAATGATTTTGCTAGCCCATAGCAATATGTGAGCA